GGGGCAGGGACGGCGTCAGTGACGGAGCACCGCGGTGGAGGGGAAGGGGGTATTATATGAGCAGAAACACATCGCGCGTCGCTCAGCGTGGCAGGGCGGCGGCAGGGCGGCGCGTTTCATATTGCAGTAAATACTTTATTCCCCGCCCGCCCGCATTCCTCCGGCTGGAAGGGCGGATATGCGGTGGGATGCCGCGCGGCGAAACAAATAACGAAACGGAGCGGTTCTGGGGATAAATGAAGACACTTTTCCTTTCCTCCCCCACTTTGCCTGCCGTTGCTGTTCTTTACAAAAAAATAAATAAAAACAATCGGCGGAAACAGAACAGTTTCATTTCATTTTGCCTTTGCAAAAAGCCAGATGATGGTTGGTTTTGCGGCATAGGGAAGGTCAGGTCAGGCGTGAGGCCGCTTAACCCATATGACGTTCGCTTTGAGGAGGCGAACGCGGCTGGTCGTCCGATGTGCTGACCGCCTCTCTGCTGGACAATCTCGACACCACCAAATCACTGCTTCCCGCGGTAGTGCTTTCTCCGCCTTCATTCTTTCCTTCCCCACTTCCGGTGCTTCGAACCTTTCTTTTTTTTCACCTTTATTTTTACGGTGGTGCCCCTCCTCGTGTGATATCCCCACCACATCAACGCGCGCTGAAACGGCGAAAAATAAAAGCGGTAATGGCCAGCCTCTCTGCCGGCTGTTTTTGTGAGCACTTTGTCTGAGCGGCCTTCTGGACCGGGCGGGGCGAGGTGGGGGCGGCGGCCGGAGGAAGTGCTGAGGGCCGAGCGGGGGCTGCGACCCCGCGGCAAACCCTGCGGGAGATCGCGAGTGTGGCCCCTGGCGGGACGCCTCGCCATCAATATGGATCTAGCTGCCGACCGACGGGGACGGGGCGTGGCGGGGCGTGGGGGAGGGTCTTGGGGATGAAAGGCTGACCGCCGCCGCGCCGGTCACGGGGAAGTCATGGGGAAGTCATGGGAGGGTCATGGGGAAAGAGAATAGACACGCGGGTCGAGATAATGGGTTTGGAAAGGAGGGGGTGGGGGATGCAAGAGGTTGCGGTGGGAGTTCCGGAGGGAGGAAGAGGGTGTGAGAGAGAGGGAGAGGGGGACTTTCTGTGGTCCTAGACGGCGCGGTGGGGCGGCGCTGGCCGGGCGGGCGACCCTGGTCCTGGCCCCGGCGCAGGTGTGGGGCCTGAGGGAGGTGATCTCGAAGAGATTCTTGAGGGGCTTGCGCGGGGGGCGTCTTGCGGCCTGAAGAGTTACGGCCTGTGTGCGGAGTGGGGCGGGGCTCGGCCCCGGTCGGTCCTCTCTATTGGAGGAGGGGGAAGGACGAGGAGAAGGAGGAGGAACGGAATCTCGAACGGAGGAAAAACTTGTGCCGGCGAGACGCAAGATCGGGACTGATTCAACTCGCGAGCGACTACCATTAGAGCCTGGCGGGGGTCTGGCTGGGAGAAGGAAGGAAGGGGGGCGGTAGGGGTGCACGCAACACACAATACGATTTGTGGGGTGCAACTTCAGCCGGGGGCATCCTTTCCTTATTCCTGGCCAACAACTTTTACTCCCAGCCAAGCCCATGCCGTTCGCCCCCGCCCCCCTCCCGGCCGCGCCGCAAAGTTTGCCCGTTCGTCCTCACCTCACCGCACACATGTGGTCGCCTGCCCCTCCAGGAGTCCAGCCAGGAGGAGGCCCTGTACGCGCTGGCCTTCGCCGACCAGCAGGCCATCGTGCACCCGCCACCGGCCGCGGCCGCCGCCGCCGCCGCGCTCGTCAAGGGCGCCGACACGGGGCTGTCGCAGCCCGACCTCAGCGGCGGCTCGGAGGGCGAGAACCCAGCGTACGCGGTGAGGGCGGCTTCCACCTGCAGACTAACAGTTAGTGCTCCGCAGGCAAACTTCAGCCCTAACTTGATTGTTTTGTGTTCTGTTGACAGTACGGCAACCAGGTGGGGTACGACTCGGGCCCCATGGGCTACACGTCGTACAACGGTTACCGGGTGGAGGGCCCGCCCAGCCGGCTGCGGCAGGCCTCGCACCCGCTGGGGGCGGCGACGCCGCCGAGGCCGGTGCTGCCCGGCCCCCAGGACAGCGTGGACGTGGTGGACGTCCAGGACCTCCCCGAGGACTCGCCGCAGCCGCAGCGCCTCATGTCCGACATCCAGGCGCGCAAGGACGCGCTGCAGCGACAGGAGGACCACGTCCAGGTTGGCCTTGGGGGCAGAGGGGGAGGAAAGGGTCACTATATCAAACAGCTACTTGTATCAAACATCGTAAACTTTTCATGGTGACGTAGTTTTAAGTCGAAGGCCTCATTGGGCCTCATTATTTGTGAATTGTGCATTCTAATACCCCGCCGTTTTCTCCTGTACAGGAACCGCCGGCAGAAAACGGCGGCCTGGTCTTGTCGGCCGACCTGGACATCCCCGCCGCGGACGACGGCGACGACGACTCGACGAGCGCCACCGAGGACGTGTGCTCCGTCAAGGCACAGTCCCCGACACCGCCACAGGTACAGCACACCCCCTCGCCGCCAACCCCCACGACTTCCTCCGAGGAACTTTTAAGTTAAATGTCTCGTTAACTAACATAAACGATGCTGCAGACGCTGAGTCTCGGGCAGATGGGGCCGGCGGAGCAGACGCTGCGCTCGCCTACGGTGGAGAAGCTGCGGCTGCAGGAAGCTGCCTCCCCGGACGTGGAGAGGCTCTCCTCCGCCTCGACCAGGACCAGCTCCACGCCGCCCCGCTCGCCCCTCGCGCAGAGGGACCGGGACCAGCAGTAGCAGACTATACAGCGACGTGTGGCCTATTTTTAGCCCACATCTGCCACATTTGGGCACGCGCTGCTTTTCCTTTTTGCTATCGTCGATTTGTTATCACATCTTTCTATATTCATTCTTTCTCTAAAAACAAAATGGTGTGATTTTTGTCTTGTGAGTTGGAAGGCGACATACCGACATGTCACGGGCGTATGCATGCCGTCCATGTCCGTCCACGCCGATGGCTGTTGGAGAGCGAAGCCCCTTTTCCTGAAGCGGGTGTGCAATGTCACTAGCACAGTGAGCGACAGCATGATTGCTAGCGGTGGTATCGCGAATTTGGTGCTAATTTGAAATAAACGAGGCGTTGTCAGTTTGGCGCGCTCAGGGTCAATTCTCTGTGACCAGATAGTTCTTACTGTAAGGAAACCAAAGATATATTCATCTCATTTTTATAATCATTAGTTCTCCTCATTCGTTAATATACACATTCTAATGCAAGTTATGTATTTAAATCTATAAAGTTATTAAATACAAAGAAGTTTGTTTGTAATCGTCCGGAATGAATGAAAACTGAATGCTGTGGAACTATTATTTTCGTATTGATCGGGTTGGGGAACAGAACAGATGTAAGTCCTGCGTTGTCCGAGAGTGCTCTTGGTCAGAGTCGTGTCTGCTGCCACAAATCTCCCGCCAGGCGAGAAAATTGGCACGATTAAACCGATACCGTCCCCAACGTCAATTTGTGACCGATTCTGGACCGAATAACTGTGGACGGTTGATTTTGGAACTGTGCGACTTCTTTTTTCCCTGTTGTGCTGCGATGTAGTTTCTCACCATAAGTAAGCACCGTTTCCGATCTCCTCTCACCGATGTATGATTCGTGTACATACGACATATAGTCGCAATTATATTAAAACTAGCATTATTCAATAAATATTCATCGTTTCGTTCCCACATCCATATTTTGTAAGCGTTATTTTATAGGTGTGCTATACTATACACTAAAGAAAGCGCACATGAAGTCAAAGGCTGGTCTTCCTATGACTTAAAAAGACTTAGGATATTGAAAAACTCACTTAGCTTAACCATAGCTGATGCCAAATGTCTTGATGCCAACTGTCTTGTGCAGTACAATTTCCATTTAAATGGACGTTCTAAGCGTGAGTGTGATAGGAACAAGGATTATGATGGAGGCTTTCCGTGAATTTTTGTTTGCAACTCTGTTTACTGTTTGTAAAAATGTTAATGCGTACTGTGATATTATGTTACCCTCTTTTCTGACATAAGAAATGGTGTTGTATTCGGCGTGTCGTGTATCGATAGCTAAGTGTACTTAAGCTCAGATTTTACAGGCACAGTAAAAGCGGAATAGTTCTTGCTGCGTTCATTTGGGTACTATTATTTTTCTGCATTAGTAGCTATTTGACACATCGTTTCCCATTCTTCCACTCCGCAGTTTTAGTATATGCCTACGAGACAATTTACTATAATGATGTATGTAAGTTTTCTAATTAAAGAATATTATAGAACATTCAGCGTTTTATTTGACGTACCCCGGAACTTAGAAGTCATACTACTGACCCACCACACACTGAGAATTTTTTTTGCTGCCGGCACTAGACACCACTTGTCTAAAGCGTCGTTAGCCAGGACCGGGCTCAGACTGCGGCCCCCCAGGAGCAAGCTGGTAGCCGAGCGTGTTAAAGCGGGATCGTTGGCAGACCGTGGGGATGGTCGGTAGTTGGAATCCCGTTCGCGATCATTTTTCC